GCACGAAATGGTGTCTTCAACAGGACACTTGCGTAGATCTGTCTGAACCAGATGTTGATGAGGAGATTTTCTTAATAGACCCTCGGAACAGACAAGTTGAAGATCTTCCCGATGATACAGAAGAAGAAGGTGACGATAAGTTTGCTGAAACCGATGATGACGATTTGGCGGAAGAAGACGGTGATGGTGATGAAGTAATTGAGGGAGATGAATCTGATTGAGTTTCATGCATTGTATTTAGTGAATGTTTGGGTTTATGTAATTTGTAACTTTGTTTGTTTGAATTTTTTAAAAACCCTAAAATTCGATTTTACGACGGTTTTACGACGGTTTTTCTAAACCCTAAACCCTAAGTCTAGGTTTTAAGCCCTGAATGAATAGGGTTTCAACATTACGACGTCGTTACGACGAACCATCGTAATATCGTCGTAAGGTTACGACGGTTTTACGACGAGTACACTATTTCGTCGTAAAATCGTCGTAATGTTGAAATCCAAGAATTTGAATCTTTTATATCTTATTGGTTGTAAGATATTTCACAAATGTTTTTGATTGGTTATCTTATTTTATATGAAATGCTATCAATCTGATCAAAATCAAAAATTTGAAAAAAAAAACATACATATTTAAAAGTTCATGCATGTTTTCGTAAATGTTGAGTGAAATGTTATATATTAGATTACGGAATTTCAATGTTTACTATCTCATGTCACAAATCCATCATACATGCAAAGTTGTAAACTTTTTGTTATATGTTAGGATACAATAACATTTGCATTGTTCTTCATTCAATATCCCATTTATAAGATTTAGGGTTTACTCACTTTTTTAAAAAACTTCGTAAAACCGTCGTAATATAATCGTAAATTTACGACGGTTTTACGTCGAAGTTCTCTAAAACCATCGTAAAACCGTCGTAACGTTTGCACCGGATAGGCTCTTGATCCGATGTACGAGGTTATAAATGTTTAGACGTTACGACGATTTTACGACGGTTTTGGGTAAAATCGTCGTAAAACCGTCGTAACGGTCAAACGCTCCCATCACGACACGTGTCATGTCATGCAGTGGACCGACTGTTATACAACCGAATCGTCGTAAAATCGTCGCAAAGTTACGACGATTTTACGACGATCACAAAATCTATATAAGGGCCGCGAGTTTTCCCCCTTTCGTCGCTCATTTTCCTCTCTTCTCCTCTCTCTCTCTACAATACTTTCTCTCTCTAAACCCTAACCCACTCCCTCTCTCCCTACTCTCCCAGCCAATACTTGTAAGTTTTTTTTTAAATTAATTTCATTACATTTTCTTTTAGATTTCGGTTCGGAATTTAGATTTAAGTTCGGAATTTAGATTTAGGTTTCGGAATTTAGATAGGCCCGGATTTTGTAAATTTAAATAGATATTTGCAAAATTAGTAACAAATTTTTTAAAAATTTTGTAGATTCTGTCGATATGGCTCCTCGGGCTAAGAGATTTCACTACCGACAACTGATCGATTCTGACGGTTAGGCCGAGCCTGAGGCTGATCCGATCCCGCCTGTACCGTATGCCCAGTTTATGGTACAAGATCTTTTGGCACACCCGGATCATGAGACCATGAACAAACTCGACCCGGATCGAGCCCCGGGCACATTTTGGTACGTAATTTTTTTCCTACAATATTTTTAAATTAATTAATAATTATTCTTATATATTTGAAATTAATTTACTTTTGTCTTTCTATTTGACTAGGTTTACGACCGACAATGCAGTCGGTCGTAACGTTGCGGATATCATCAAGTGGTTTTTCGTACAACCCCATACCAGCTGGAAGAAATTGGATCAGGCCACACTTGACACTTGGTTCAAGTGTTTTGCGGTAAGTAATTTACAATTTCGTTTAATTTTAATTTTAAATTTTAACTTTTTACAATAATTACTAACTTCTTTTTTTTTCCTAGCAAAACTGGCATTGGGAAATATCCGCACACGGACGTGTGGAGACGGCCTTCAAGGAGAAGGTCAAATACTGGAAACGGAAGTGGGAGGTTGACGGCGACAAGGCCAAGCCGGCGCCTATGGCCAATACCGTCTGGCGGGGCCTTGTCCAGTACTGGTTGGATCCGCACAACCAGACTACGGCCGCCAAGTGTTCCGGATCTAGGTAAGTAGTTAATTCCAGTATATTTACATTATTTGTTTTCATTAATTCTTATAATAGATTCTAATGAAAATATTTTTCAGGAACGCTACTGACGATGCGGGAAATCGGAAGAACGTTCTGCACACCTCCGGCCAGATTCCTTTTGCCGGAAGACGGCTTATAATGGTAAGTAAATTAAAATTACGAATTTTTTTATTTTCAAATAATTAACCCTTATTTGTCGATACTAATTTTTTCATTTTGATTTTGTTGGTCAAAGATAACGGAGGAGAACTTTCTCCGATGACAAAGGTTTTCGCCAAGACGCATAAGAAGCGGAACGGTGAATTCACGGATCCTCGGGCGGAGGAGATCTACAACGCCGCCTGTGCGGCGATCGAGGAGCGACAGACGCAGCTGACTCAGCAGGCGCATCAAACGTCTCCCGGAGGTAGCTCGGTCCAATCGACCCCGGCGCTAACGGTGGCGGAGATGGACCAGATTTTCGAAGAGGTAAATTTAATTACTATATTTAATTAATGTAACTTTAGTTTTAAATTGAATTTCTAACCATAATGTTTTTAAATATTTGTAGGTTGCCCCAAAGAAAAAGGGGCGGGTATTAGGAATGGGGTCCATCCGTGATACCTCGAGAGCTACGGCGACTGGTCATGTCTGGGTCCCGGATCCGGTTATCCGCCAGGAGATCGATCAGATGCGGACCCGTTACGAGACGAGGATCGACCAGCTCTACGGTCTCTTCGAGATCATGGGAGCCGACAACCCGGTGCTCATGGCGCAGTTGGAGAAGCTGCGGGCTGATGGGGTTGTCGGATCGTCTGCCGCCGAGTCATCCACTAGGACGCAACCGCCGGTGCAGACGGACGAGGAGATGTTCCGATCTCTCGGGGTTGAGCTTCCTAGAGCCAGAGATCAGGCGCCGGCGAAAGCATCAAACCGAAGACCCGGCAAGGAACACGTCGAGGACGATGGGGAGGAAGCCGGTGACGGGATCGACGATATAGATTTAGATTTAGATTTAGAGCTGTAGGGTTTTTATGTAAATTACAATTAATTTTAATTTCATTTTTTAATAAATTTTAAATTGTAAATTATTTTTTTAATTTAAATTGTAATTCGAATTAATGTTTTTTTAAATTTTCAATTATATTAAACGTCGTATAATCGTCGTAAGATCTTTATTTAAAACCGTCGTACACTCGTCGTAAATATTACGACGAATTTACGACCAAAATGTACGACTACAAATACGACGATTATACGTCCGTGCTTTACGACGATTTTACGACGAAATGATTAAATACTTTACGATTGATTTACGACAATTTTTGCGTCGTACATTTTACGACGATCTTACGTCGACCATTAACGACCACTTAACGACGGTCCAGGCGAAGACCAAGTCGACGCAATTCGATGTAAACTCGTCGTAAACTGTACGACGCATTTACGACGATTTTGTTTCCCTCGATGTTACGACGAAATGAAACCGTCGTATATTATACGACGATTTTACGACGATTTGTCTATTACGATGATGACTTTACGACGATTTCGGTAGTTCGTCGTAATAGCCCTATTACGACAAAATAACGACCATTTTGACCGTTGTAAAATGATGTTTTTCTTGTAGTGTAAGTGTTTCTGCTTGTGTGGTTGGATTGAGGCTGTTTTTAGTTTGGTCTTGTATCTTGTTTACTTGGCTTTCGGAGGAGGTAGTAATGCTGTCTTTGCTTGTTGTCGCTTGGCTATGTTCTAGCCGACATCGGGAGGATCTTGGTAGAGTTAGTAGTGCTTCTTAGCTTTGATAGCTAGTGTTGTCATGTCCTAGTGCTGGATCTAGGTTTGTTATTTGAGCGCCGATGCTTAGATGTTGAGGGCGGTCTTTGATTGGGCCTTTTCTTAGAAGAATAGCTCTTTTTTCAGGCTGTCGGATGAAACTGCTTCCGATCTGCTTTGTGGATATTTCTTTGAGTCTTCTTCTAGTTTTCTCCTTTTGATCATATCTCGGTTACATTTTTCCTTGGGTGGTTTTCAAGTTCTTTATCGTTACTGTTTGATGCCAAATTGCTTCACTGCTACGGTGTTATCTTAATACCGATTGTATTTTGCTTCCATGTTTTTTCTCGTTTTTTTATCATGAGACCAATCTGTTAGGTTGAACATTTTGTTTCACAATTTGTAACACCTAAACTTTTCATTTTTAATAATGAATATTTACCATTTAGCAAAAAGAAAAAAGAAGAATGGAATATTTTTCTAATTTATTTTATATTTTGTTTTCAAAATCTCACATTTTAGCTGTATATTTTAACTAGAATATCTTATATTATGAAACATAAATTGAAAATTGTATATTTTTGTATAAAATTTTCTATTGCAATTCTAAAAACAATATTTTCTTTAACAAAAAGTTATGGTAAGACCGATGGGAGAGAGTGTGACAAAAAAAAAGACCCATGGGAGAGAGTAATTAAAAAAAAAAATTGAGAAATTGAAATGGTGCAAATCTCAAACCATTGAATGTAACTCGATCGTTTAAAAATCAAAATAGCTCTTGGTGAATTTAGATTGAATCTGTATTACATTGTAACGGTAAGAGTTATCACCAGATTCATCGATAATATGATATCTGCTGCTCAATAACTATTAAAAATGTTAGATTCGGCTGTACACTATACATCTAGTCTTCCAACGGTAACTTTTCAGACATAAAGTTGAAATTCATTATCCAATGATTAGAGGACACGTATCCCACATCCGACCCCAACGGTCGTCTTTCTTCTTCGTTACTTTCATCCAAAGTATAAAAATAAAAACCCAACGAAACTCAGAAAAGCAAAAAATGATCTGAAACAGAACCAAAAAAAAAAATAGTAAGAGGTCGAACAAAAATGGTGAAGGGAATGAATATACAAGAAGAAGAAGAAGAAGAGAAGGAGAATTTTCCTCTGATTACAACCAAAGTAGTCGAATACTTACAGCCAGTAATGTGTCGAGAGCTACTCTGCAAATTTCCAGATAACTCTGCTTTCGGATTCGACTACTCACAGAGCTCTCTCTGGTCTCCTCTCTTGCCACGAAATTACCCCACTCCTTCCGATCCTGGCTCCGACAGTTGCGTTTGTCGGAATCTTGAGCTCGGGGAGTTTCAAGAAAGCAAGAAGATGAAGAAGAAGAAGATGAAGGTGTCAATGAAAAAGAAGAAGAAAAAGAGCAAGTTAGTGAAACTAGACATGTCTTCAATGAAGAATCAAGATTCTCCTAAAATTGGCTGCTTTCCTATTTCTACCAAGGTACATACATTCATTGATGATGTTCTTGGTCTATTCTTTTGCTCTCTTCTCTTATTTTTTTTTCTCAATTTTGTTATTTTGCTTATTGTATAGGGATGGGATGGTATGCTAAAGGCAGCTTCAAAACACTTTAAGAAATCGAAAAAGAAGAGAGATTCAGTTTCTGATGTCAAGCTTCTCAACTTCTGAAAATGCTGAAAAAATGAATATTTCTTGCTATGATGGGTTAATTTCATATGTTTATTTCCTTTTTATTTTATTTCTGTATCTATTTCTATGAATGGTCTTCATGTAAACTTCATGGAGTCTTTGATAGTGACTGCACTTTGTTTTTGGTTGTAATTTTTAGTTTGACTGCATTTTGAGTCTTAGAAACAAGTAGAAATTGGAAACAGAATTCGTTATATTCAATTTTAACATAATAAACAAGCCTAATGCCATATAACTGTGGAAATCTATTAGACTTCGGTCCTGTGTCTAGAAATTCTTGGATCCTTGAGCCAAAAAAAACTCTCATTACTTTACCACCTCACTCTCTTTGTTGCTCACATCTAAGCAATCTTCATGATCATTATAAATTTCCTCTCCTTGTGCAAACTCATCATCAGACATTTGTTCATTGTCATTGTCTTCGACAATTGCGAGTCCGTTTTGAAGCAAACGCCGGTTCTCTTCTGAATCTTGCCTCAGTACCGCTGCTGGATCCCATCTCTGATAGCTGTTCCCTGTGAGATTCGAAAGCAGATATTAGCTGATGGAAACACACTTTTGTGCTTGAGAAGTAATCCTTTTTGATGTGCCTGCTTTACCATTTTATGACAACCTTCCTCAAACATTTCAAGGAACCCAGCAACCCAGCGATCAGCGTTTTCAACCCACTCATTATGGTGCATCCCAGCAGTTTTTGCTACGGTTTGTATCTGCAAAGATTCACGATTCAGAAGTTACACAAGTTGGCCATTGTTCAGCTTTTTACCATTCATTCACTATTACAAGCTAGACATCTAATCAAAGGTTATTGAGGCGTAATAAGAAATAGATTCCTCGGCTTCCCACCTTTTCTTGCTGTTCTTTCACTTTCTCTTGTAGTTTCTTGAGTCTCATGTTCACTCTAAGCCTCTTCTCCTGTTTGTTGCAAACAAGCCCATAACGTGTTAGTGTATCAATTTGGTTATTGATGGAGACAAAGAAAGAGGAAATGGAACCTTAACGAAGCTGACACCGAGCTCTTCTCTTGAATATCCACGGTCCAGATTACGCAACACATACTGGTTGTAATCTTTCACTATTCTCATGATTATGTCTGATGTCGATATCCCCTCTGTTCGTTTAGTTTCTTTAAACTTCCCAATCGACTTTACCTGCAGAGAAACCAAGCCCCAAAACAAGCTAAGAAACAGCTAAGAAGTAGAAGAGACACCAAAAGAAAGAACCTTTCCTATGTAGATAATTACTCACAAACTCATAGACATCGTTTCCAGCTCCACTAGCATCCGCGTAGCTGCGAGAAGAAATAAAGCATCACAGTCACAGATACAGTTTTAAACGATGACAACAAACACAAACCCATGATTATTAAAAACTTGTTCAAATTCTTACGGAAGAGCATCGTGAGCAACGTAGTCTATCTGATGCTTGTCGAGAAACTCTGTGGTGAGAACCCATGGAGCATCTGGAATCACTTCATCGACCCACCTGTTTATACATTAAAAACTTAATCAAAACCATGAACAAGCTCTCCAAAAATTCAACAAGCTCCGGATTCACAGGATTAAACATACTTGCAATGTCGGAGAGATTCATAGCGCTCAGATTCTGTCATCACCGTCTTGCCCTTGAATTTGTTGGTGATTTCGTCGTTGCAGCATCCAACAAGCAGATATGTGTTCGGAAACCTAATTTGATAGAAATTGAATCCATAAATCGAGCCAAACCGGCGCCGGAAAACGCAAAAACTCAACCTATTTTCTCGATTCCGGCAAAACAATTATCGATCGAAGAAAAAACAAATGCGGAGGCAGAGATTGAATGGTACTGACGATTTCTTGGCTTGCTCGATGGCGCGAGCGTGACCGAAGTGGAACAAATCGTAGATCCCATCGGCGTAGACTCTAACCGGCCGATCTGAAGCTGGTCCATCTCCTGAAACCTTGTCACCATTAACGCTCATTTCTTCTTCTTCTTCTTCTTCTTCTTCCTTGAAAATTTTGACGAAGCTTTTTTTGTTTGGTTTTGGCTTTCTTAAATGTTTTTGTTTGCTAAGTTTCTTTCTATGGCTTTCCCTCCAATCGCGCAGTTTTCTAAATTGGCTTTCTCCATTTTTCTTCGATTTTTTTTCTACGACTTTTCAGTTTTGTAATTTGTTTCGAATTTATTTGCTCCTAAAATAATTAATGATCTCTCATTTCACACGCATAAACCAAAAGTGATAGAGAAAGACAATTTGTAAAATTAAATGGAAAGATGATGAGCTTTTGTAGTCGGCCATGTTTGAACACTGATATTTTCAAGATACAAATGATTACTCAAGTCTTTTTTTAAGATACACACATTTTTTCTGGCCGGCTAATAAATAATACTACCGGCTAATAAATAATAAGTATATACATTAAATAATGTTATCATTGTAATACAATGACAAATAAAACAAATTACACTTTCCGTTTTAATTTTTAAACCATTTTAAGTATTTATGGACTTCCAACTCATACTCTTCTAATATCTCGAGTCAGCTTTTAAATCTTCCCATTTGAAGAAACAAGGTCTATTCTTTTCTCGGTCGCTGTATTGGCAGCTTGCGACAATCGTAAAACAGTTACAACAAAGAGAATAATTACCGCTGAATGACTGCAGATGTTGTTAGAGATGATCACAAGTGTTATTAGCGACGTCACTCATAGTGTTGGAAATTTCTAGTGTTGGTTTTTTGGTAATGCGGCCACTGTAGTGGCAACTCTTTTTTTATAACAAAACCTCCAAACACCCATATTACTTTTTACATCCACTACCATTTTATTTTAAGTTATAGCAGCCGCTGACACAGCGACCCGAAAAAGAACAGATCCACACTTTCTATTCTAAATGAGGTTTGAATTTGGGTCACAAAAAAAAAAAAAGCAATTCCTTATGCTACCATTAGGCCACCAGTTAATAGTTGAGGAAAAGTAGTTTGGAGCAGATCTAAGTTATACATGATAATTCTCTTGCATAAGTAGCAAAAGCTCAATACACATGAAAATTTTGAAACACTAATATAATGCCTTTTCGATTAAATCAATATTTTTACCATCAGATTCGTTTGTAAACAGGAAAAACACTGGAAGACAAACACTTGTCAAGTTGTCATCGATGGAGTTAATCTAAATGTTTTTGCCTCTTTTCTATTAAAAAAATGAGCTCTTTAATTTCAAATATGATCAAATCAGTTTTTTTTTTTTGTAAGAAAGTCACGGATCCTCTTATCGTGACAATATGATTTATTTAATTTCATATAAAAAATATCTGTCCCGGATCACAACTATACTGAACATCATGGGCTTTCAAGCTGTATTAATATGGCGACATGTTGGCCTAGGTACATGTGATTATCGTGTACAAAGCATGTCATTCATGCTCATAATCCCCCAACGATCGACGTATAAAACTTTAGATCAACGTGTAGCAGATGACCATATTTTATGTTTTTGTTAGTGTCCTAAGTGACGAACTTGGTAAATGAGTTGAGTTTTATTATTCGTTTTCTCTCTGAATGCACAGTAAACGATACAATCATACAAAATACATCATACATGGCTTGGGCCGTCTACGTGCGTATTTATAGTACCTTAGAGCATCTTCACTAGTGATATTCATTAGTGTCTTTTAGCAATTATTTAGTATTATTTTTAGAGAAAGAGAAAAAAACAAGAAACTTATGTTTATGTAGTGTCTACTAGTGTTCTTTTAGTTGTGTCTCTTAGCAATAAAATAATATTTTTTTTCTTAATTTAAATTACATTATTATTCAATAATAAATTTTTAAACATACAACTTATTGAATAAGAAAACATTAAACAATACAAACATCTCTCAAATAATTATTAAAGTAGAAAATATAGAACATACATTTAAGATGTGAATTAGGCGGGAATTGTGTTCCAAATGTGCTCCACTAAATCATCTTTTAAACGTTTATGTATTTGCTGATCACGAACTTCATTACGAATGCCGATCATATTGTTGATGTTTGTAGACATATCTCTTGAATACTCCATATCAACATGTGATGATCTGCTTCCGTCTGGTTGTTGGAATCCAGATATATCGTACAAACTGCGGTTACCTCGTTCGTTTTCTACAATCATATTGTGCAATATGATTGATGCCCTCATAATCTTTCCAATCTTTTCCTTGTCCCAGATGAGTGCCGGATTTTTAATGATAGCAAACCGAGCTTGAAGAACCCCGAAAGCACGCTCGACATCTTTACGGATAGATTCTTGAACTTTGGCAAATTTTTGTTCTTTTTCACTTTGCGGAAGGTTAATAGATTGGATAAACGTTACCCATATTGGATAGATACCGTCAGTTAGATAGTAAGGCAACTTATAGTTGTGACCATTCACAGAATACCTAACTTTCGGAGCCCGACCTTGTAATATGTCGTCAAAAACAGGTGAACGGTCAAGAACGTTTATATCATTTAATGTACCTGGAGGCCCAAAGAATGCGTGCCATATCCAAAGATCGTATGATGCGACAGCTTCTAAAACGATTGTCGGTTTTCCTGCACCCCGGGTGTATTGACCTTTCCAAGCGATTGGACAATTCTTCCATTCCCAGTGCATACAGTTGATGCTTCCAATCATGCCGGGAAAGCCACGTGACTCTCCAACATCGAGCAGGTGTTGGAGATCTTCTGGTGTGGGACGTCTAAGGTATTGATCTCCAAACAATTCTATTATGCTTGAAGTGAAATTTTCCAAGCATAAAATTGCGGTAGATTCACCTATACGCAAGTATTCGTCCGCCGCGTCTGCTGCACAGCCGTACGCCATCATCCGAATTGCGGCTGTACATTTTTGTAGTGCTGTCAGCCCTAATCGACCGGTAGCGTTCCGTCTTTGTTGGAAATATGGAACCTCTTCAGATAGCCTATCCACAATCCGCATGAATAAAGTCTTGTTCATGCGAAAACGGCGTCGAAATATGTGTGGGGGATAGATTGCATCTTCCGAGAAGTAGTCATTCCATAACCGGATTTGACCTTGTTCCCGTTCTCGTTCAATGTATGCCTTTTTCTTTTTTTTCTTCTTGGCGGTTGCAAGACGTTCGATGATCTCTTCATATGCTTCTTCGAATTTTTGCTCAAATATTGCATTAAAAGATTCATCAAGTGCATCTTCAAAATCATCATCTTCAAAGTCATCAGAATCATCAGACCTATAGTGTGATGAAGACGCCATGTAGAAGATAGAGGTGTGTGAAACAAAAGAATTGAAGAAGAGAGTAGATGAAGATGGTTAAAAAAACTGGAAGAAGAGAGTATTTGGGGTAAAACGAAAGACTTGGAGAAATGAGTTACAACGAAATACTTGGGCAAAAACAGATTATATAATGAAAACATTATCTCAGATACCATCGTGAATAAAAGTACACTCGTGACACAAGTAACAGATTACAATAATTTAAAAGTACCCATCATGAATTTCTACAGAAGATAAAATGAAAAGCGAACAAGTACACTCGTGACACAAGTAACCAAAACGATGATGGAAGACCCCAAAAATGTCTTGTATCCCACATAAAGCACTCCACAAAAGCCTGAAAAAGATGACAAAATGCATAGATAACAAATCAATCATTGCAATTAACGAGTAACACATGAACTTGACATTGAAACAAACATAACCGAGCATTAGACATTAAACATAACCGAGCATTAGACATTAGACATACATAACCGGGGAAACAAAAACAAACATCATAAAAGTGCCCAATACAAATTTAAATATTTCCCAATACATAACCGGCTTCAAGATAACAACTCAGAAATCAACTTGTTCTTGAGGGCATTTTCAATGTTAGCGAGTGGCTCAGGTTTCGCTAGGAGATTGTCCAGGGCTTTGTGCTTAGCAAGTTTTGACTTCATCTCCATATCTTGTTGTCTATTCTTAGCAATTTCTGCCTTCAACTCCAGATCTCTTTGCCTAATACTCCACAAGTTCTGAAAATCGAGAAGTGCCTTACCTTCTTCTTTACAGCCGTTTTGCTTCTTGGCTTTTACTTTAGACGCTTTCACTCCTGGTGGTCGCATCTCTGCAGCATCATGTACATCAACTCCGGCCTCAACATTGTTAGACGACTGACCCGATCCATGTACATCATCCACCTTTTTTCTTTTCGAGCTTGCACTGTCTTTTAAAGCGGTGGCTCTGCACCATTTCTGGTCATGTCTTAACTCGCGCCATGCATGTTCTAAGACAAACTTGAAGCCATGATCATTGAAAAATATGTCATGTGCACCTTTCATGACATCATTTTCATTTTGCCCACTGGTCTTCTCTTTCGTAGCTGCTTCATAGCATCCTACGAACTTGCAAACTTGATCGTTGATCCTACACCAACGTTGCTTGCACTGGCCGACTTCCCTTTTTGGCTGACCGGCGAGATGCTTTGAGTTGTTGTAGTACAAGCATATGCGGCTCCAAAAAGCAGAAGCTTTCTGGTCGTTACCAACAACCGGATCTTTACTCGTATTCAGCCACGCGGAGATGAGGATGACATCCTCCTTCGGTGTCCACTTGATTCTTTGTGCAGGTGTCTTCCCTCCTACGCTTGGAGAATCAGAAGTCTGTGTACTAAACACAGGGACCTCTGATGATCCAAGGTCAATGATGTGCGAGTAGCCGTCATTAGGGAGCTGGCTTGTTAAAAGATTTACAAAACCTTCAGCCTGGCCGTAATTGTTGCCGGAATCCATTAGGGTTTACAAAGGTTCGGTGGTGTTGAAGAAAAAGGAAGAGTTTAGGGTTTAAGTTTAGGGTTTAGAGTAGTTTGAGGGGTTTGAGTTTTTTAGAGTAGTTTGAGTAGTTTGAGTAGTTTAAGTAGTTTAAGTAGTTTAAGTATTTACAAAGTTTTTTAGAGTAGTTTAAGTTTTTATATGTAGTACAAGTTTTTAAATGGAGTTTTACTGAAGCAGTGTGTCATTTACTAACCCTAAACCTAATTTCTACTTTCATTCAAGGCATTGATCACAATGGATGCCAAAGCACACGCAAACTTCTACTTTCATTCAAGGCATTAAAACTAAACAACTTTCAGCTGACAACCTCAACAAGCATTTATACCACTTCAATGCCTATCTAATTCCGCAAAGACAAAGGGGAAAAGGAAGCTAACCTCGTTGAAAAGACTCGATGATAGAAGTGCATCAGTTGTTATCTCGATAATCCCACCATGTTACACTCGAAAAAAAATTGAAATAAGTGTAATGAAAATATAACATTCAATACAGTCCAACGACTAAGTCTTAACTCCTCTACCTAACCAATATCGAACTAGCATTAAACTCAAACAAGTGCCAACAAAAACAAACTCAAAAAAGCGAACAAGAAGACATTCATAAACCCTTAAGATTAAAAGTTCAACATAATTCAACATTACAACAAGACATGGTCTGACTTAGTGAAAAGAAGACAATTTAACTTGTTCCTCTTAAATAGACAACATTCATTGAACGATTTTTATTGTCATACTTATAAAAACCTACTTAAACATATAGCAAACGGCAGCGAATACAACAAATATAACAAGGAACATGAATGCGTCACCTTGGTTAGCATTGTGGGCTTTCAGCATCGTCACATCGTCTTGAAGATGCCCGCGTGTTCTTGCAGCATAGACACGTCTTCTTGCAGCATTCGGACATCTTCCTTCAACTCTGCAATGGTTGGATTAGTAGCATGGCGCCTGTCGACGCTGAAGAGCATCTCCTTTTGCTCGTCTAGCCTGAGCTCAAGTATGGAGAACTGCTCCGTCACAGCTTCATCCCACCATTGCCTCTTGTGCTCACCACGACCCTGCGTAAAGAGTAAATATTAAATCCTCATCGAAAAACATGTATGTATTTAAGAACTTTGTAACTACAACTTACCTCACAGACCCAGTCAAGGCATGTGTAATACTTGCGGCCTGCAATTCCCATAGCACCACCAGGACAAGTTTCAAGCTTCACACGTTTCCCACAGAAACATTTTTCTGGTATCCCGTAGGTTGCATCCGCGTAGGCCCATCCTAAATCCATTTCTGGTTCTTCGGATGATGTTTCGCTATAATGAGGCATTGCCTGCGATGATAGTCATTAAACAAGTCGTCAAGTTAAAGCAAGTAACATAACTATTCAATTAACAAAGAAGAACAAGTAAGTCACATATGCGGCTCACTTATTAAATCTCTAAAGAAATCCACATAACTACCAACTCACAAAGCAAAAGAACATTGGCTAATAAAGACAACAATCAACCGATGCTCAAAGTCAAATGCTTAGCGAAGAATCAAACAAAAACAATAGTTTAGTTTAGTTTATGAATCAACCGATGCTCATCATCGTTTAGTTAAAGACAACAATCAACCGATGCCCATCATCGTTTAGTTTATGAATCGTGACAAACTAAACCAACAAAATCAATCGACAAACCCTAAATTAAAAATTGCAGTTTCGTCAAACCCCACAATTCGAGTGAACCGTTGTGAAAACATCATCTATATGCAACCGCCTAAACACAAAACCCCTAATTTGAACTTTCAAACATGTCAACAAATTTCCCCCAAATTCGAGAAACCCTAAATTCGATAATCTAGTTTAACATAACCAATGATTCGACTGTAATCGATGGGAAACAACATCTACATGCACACGCCAATACACAAAAACCCCTAATTTGCACCGATGATTAACCGATACATTTTCCCCAAATCGACGAACCCTAATCTCCCCCAAAAGTTCATCAAATCACAAAAATAAATGGATAGAGAGATGATTACCTTACGCAGATGACGGAAGAGATGGATCGGAGGCGCCGAAAACGACCGGATAGCACGATCTCCGGGATTCGACGATATCGCCTCTATCGTCGCCTTCGAGAGAGAAAAAAGGAAAAGGATTTGTTTCGCGACCTAATTTTTTTACCCCCCAAACATTTTGCAATTAAAATTGTAAAAAAAAAGATTAAAACAACCACTAAGAAGCCGACACGTGTCCGACGAGACGGTCTCGTCCGCTCCTAATATAAGGAGCGATCCGTCGAGTTTTTGGCCGAGAAATGATTAAAAAATGGCCGACCCATATGAAACTGTGCCGACGTTTTCTTTTAAATCTCCTGCTGGAGATGCTCTTAGGTATATATATCAACTTTTGCTGATTAGAATGTTCAAAGAAGTTGTTCGAAGAAAAAGAAAAAAAAAAAACACTTTTGTTCACTAGGGGTATAGCGATAGCTTTTGTAGTGTTTGTTTATAGGGATTTATATTAGACTTCTTAATTAGTGATTTTGTGACTAAGTTTAGCTTCTTTTGTAAAAAAGCAAATGTCATTACTGTAGCCAGACCATGATTTTAGTTTGTTGAACGTTCACGGCTCCACTCTGTATGAGAGCAATCCATTTTCTTCAAATGATGTTATGTTAGTAAAAATATTTAAGACAACTAAACCATATAATTGAACCAATTAATGCAAAAAGTATAGTTGATTTTTTTTTTCCAACAATTTTATGTAGTTAAACTTATATATTCCGTTTAAGTTTTGCTTTAACCAGTGAAAGTTGTGAAACTGTGTTGAGTAAAGAATGATTAATTTAAGGCCAAAGATTTTCGGTTTGATGCAAAATTTGACTCATCAACGTTTAAGAATTTTCCCAAGTCCTGATTTATTAGCTTTCTCCTTATATATTTTTTCTGTAGCAAAGCGTATCCTAACTAGTTTAGCTTCTTTTGTAATATTTACAAACATTTTCATGTCAATAAATAGTAAAATACTTTGCAAAAGTAAAAAAAAAAACGATCCATCGGTTCTTTAGAAATCTATGGAATTAGAATGGAAATCTCTGGTTAATAACTAACTGCTTAAGTGTAGTAAGGATTATGATAGAGTTTCATATTCTTATAAGTTCTAACTCGTCTTTGCCGTTTGTATCTATTCTCTTGTCTTCCTTTTCTCCCTCTGCTCGTCTTTTACGTTGATTCGCTTCTCTACAATCATTCTTCACTACTTTAAAAACCAAAAATGTCCTAGAGAACCGAAAATAAAAACAAGCCAGAATAAACCATTTTGATATTCAGTTTAAAGTCCTAATTCTGTTTATGTGATTTCTGGCCCTTTTTTGTCACTTGTTTTTTTTTGTTTCCAATATAATTTTTACCTTTTAAACTGTGAGATTAAAAGGGAAAAAAGAAAAACATCACGTGATATTCTTCACATGTTGGTAGCCTACCTTCACCAACTCACTTTCTCCTGTTTCCGAACAAAAAGCAACGGCGAAGTAGGATATTTATTTTTTTCTTCTTTCTTTAGAGAAAATTCTTCATTAAATTACAAAAGCCAACTAATATTTTTCTTAAAGCTAGTCACATTGAAAGAAAAGAAAAAGACGATCACAAGTTTCCATGTAGATGTCATATGATACTCGAAACTATTGCCAAACGACAAAAGAAGTTCAAGATTAAACTCTTGATTAGTTTTTCAAAAGTTATTTCACACTTCCAACCAAAATCATGGATCCCATATAGTTAAAGAACGAATCAAGGATTCAATGTCAATATAATAGGAGACCTTATATTATGACATTCATATTCCATGGTGAAATATTAAAGCAGTATTGGCATCTCCTCTTATTATAGGACAACCTATATATATATATGTGTATAAACATATTATTAGGGTGTACTGACTTTTTGTGAGCTTACATTAGTTGTGCTAAAATAATTAATTCATTCCATATATTCTTTTTTTTTTGTTCCTCCAAATTGAATAACAGCATCATATTATCTTAGAACATCGATCAGTTTGCATTGATCTTTTCTTTTCTCACTTTTTTTATCAACATCATTTCATTATAAAACTTAGTTTATAACTCAACCATGGTGTTGAACCAAAAAAAGAAGTTTACAGTTTCTTTTGTTTCTAATTACGTTTACACAAAGTAAGTGAGGTTGTGTACTTTTCAATTTACATTATTTCAATTTACATTATTTCAATTTGATTTTTGATAAATGCAATTTAAATTTATTCAATTTATATATGCAACCACATAGTGATTACAACACAAAGAAATATTCTCAAGATATGAAAACTAAACAAAGCACAACCAAAAAAAAATTATGGTCAAAGTTTTCGTTCTGCTACAAACAAAGTCAGTACCTAACATTTCTTCCTTTTATGTTTTGTTTATTTAGGTGTAAAAAAAAAACAATTCTAAAGAATAATCCACTGTTTCCTCATTGCAACCATGAAGTAGTATTGCTATTCCTCTCCAATGATGGACCATAACCTCCTCCTCCTCCTCTTCCACCGTCTCTACTTTCATCTGCCGTCACAAAACCATCGGGAACCACCGTATTAGGATAGCCAAGATGAGTGTTCACGTGGTTTTCCGACGAGAACATATACGGTCGCTGTTGTTGCGGTAGCTCGTGATTAACCGCTTGATTCTGAAAATTAGCGTATTGATAGCCCACAGAAGAGGTTCCGGCGTCGGGAACGGACGAGGTGAGACTAAAACCAGAGGACGGTGAACCGAAAGCCACGGCGGATGGACCACCTGTAAATTGTTGGACCATGGCTCTAAAGTTGGTTGTGTCGGTATTGAGAAGTGTAGTGGGTGTACGTCGAGAGGCTCTAGACCTCCGCCGTGTTGCCTTTGCAACACGGCGGTTTTCTGAGCTCACGGGAGAATTATCTGACGTTGCGGTGGTGGTGGTGGTGGTTGAGGTGGTGAAGAAGGTTTGGTTGTTGTAGAACTGAGACCAATCGTTGTTGGGGTTGGCCATATTCTTATTGTTATGGGAGAGATTATAGACTAGACCTTGTTGTGTATTTATAGACTCTCTCTTGATTTGTTTTTATTGTATAGTTTTTAAATGCGTTCGACTTGGTCAAAAGAAGATCAGCTAAACGAATCGTAGCCGCTGCTTCTTGGTATGTTTTCTGGGACACGTCGATTAAAAATTAGCTGTTGTCGCCTAATGTTTCTTGTCGTCGTTTTGCGTTTCTCAATTCTATTTCTATATTGTCTTTGTTTTTTTATATTTTCTTTATAACATTTATCTTGTTTTGGTTGAAGTAAAATAAATTTGTAATTGCACTAAATGATTATAATTTTTTTCCAACTAGATCTTTCACCCACATTAACGTACGGCTAATGTTTAGAAATTTTGTTCAATATTTCACCTTTTATTGTTGTAAATCAAGTACAAGAAAACAATAAAATTTAGAAAGAAATTGTAAATTGAGGCAAACATCCGTTTAGAGTTTTCTTATTATGTGTGTGAATGAATAATTTATAACCCTAAAGCCTTGAATTTATAACCCTAAAAACCCGATTCCCAAATCCACTAGAAAAAAGAAAACTTAAATCTAGCCATAAAAGAAAATCGTACCGTGGGGGCCTTCGACCCGTTACATTTCTCAACTCGTTCTAACAGATCTCTTTAAAATATTTTATCACTAGAAACAACAATAATTTTTTAAGATAACTCTACGATCATTGATTGACAATGATCATATCGTTCAACTTATATGATGATATCTGATATTAGTATTTTTGACTTAAAAGATTTATTGTACCTAGTCTTTTTACCGTTGAATTGACCATTGTTTAAAATTTCATTTCAGTATTTGACAAAGCGAATTGAGTTTTCTATTTCAAAAATTAAATACGAATCTTCTCAATAAAATGATGAATAATTGTAGTTTCGTAAATCAGTGTTTTTTTTTGTTCGTCCAAATCACCGTTTAAATATTGTATACAATAGTATCTAAAGCTTGTATATGTGTTTATCCATATATATATATATCACATAGGCAACCAATTTTAAGTGAAATCTAGTAACAGCACGTAACACTTTCGTTAGTAAATCCGTGTAAGCATCTCAAGTAATCCTTAGTATAGATTTGACCAACATTAACTAAACTAAGCAACTCAAGTAAGTAAATTGTTACCATATTTGAAGTATCATTTGTTAAAGTCATTTAATTTCATGAATATTAGCGTAACCGAAAACCCATTTTCTAGTATATAGATTTTCAGGCAATCGGGCTTAGATACCAATATTTTTCATTGATGATGGTGATCACAACTGAAAACATTTATAAGGATGCGAATTTAGTCATTAATTAACCATTGTTTATTGTAAGTTCCAGTTTTTTACTTCTATAAGCTAAGACATTTCACCTAAGAGGACAAATTGGGGTATGTGTTCCATTGAATTGCATTTCAACACACTCCTTATGACGACCAAATTAGTCTCAGGCCACAGAAAATTTAGGCGATTTGTTTCAGATGGAACAAAGCATTTTTTGAACTGTATACCACTATTGTTGAAATGACTTGCCTTAGAATGTTGCTTGGTAGGCGAAGCTGGTGAACCTAGTTTCTTTTGTTGTGGCAGAGTGGACATGATCACTTTTTATTCTATAGCTCATAAACAACATAATGAACAAAAAAAAAAAAAACAGGAATTAATATTAATATATTTTTGCTTTCATTGAAAAACAAATTGAGTTATAGTCATCAAGATCAATATTATATATATATGCCTCCTGCAACATAATCACATATTAAATGATATGTTATCCTCAAAGCCAAGTTTGTGAGTTTTTTTGCACAATCAATGTACATAATAAGGTGCATGGGATTTCAAAATGGTAAATAAACCTTTGTTTTAAAATAATTGTTATCCCATTTGGATTAGGCACTATCGGTTTTTTATATAAATTACTAATCATTGTTTGGGGTTCTAGGAAATGGATGTACTTATTAAAAGCATACGCTTAAACAATCTGATGTCAAATATAAGATCATCAAGGGAAGAAAAAGTTAATCTAAATTTAGGATTTAATGAAATTTTTTGCTGTCTTAATTTTTTAAAATTGCCACAAAACAATATTAAACACACTACAAGAAAGATCGGGTTTTACGTCGGCAGATATCGACGTTAAATCGATGTAAAAGTGCATTTACGTCGAATTAGCGACGAATGAAAAATCGTCGTAAAACAATCGTCGTAAAATAGAATTCGTCGTAAAATCGTCGTAAAATTACCAACCCAGGAAAATCGTCGTAATATCGTCGGAAACTATTCGTCGTAAAGTCGACGTAAATTTTCCAACGAAAGTACAACGAAATACGTCCATCATAAGAACGACGTAAAATCGATGTAAAATTACATTGATTTAACAACGATTAGGAGACCACTTATTTCAATTAAAGGAAATTAATTTTTTAATTATCGATGTTAATTCGTCGTAAATTTTCGACGTAGATTCGACGTAAACATATTCGACGTAAATTCGTCGTAAAATGTTCGACGTTAGATCGACGTAACTTTACGACGAATTTACGTCGATTTATAAATTAATTATTTAAATTTGATTTTAATTTAATTAATGAATTTTTAAAATAATCAAATAATTGAAAATAGAAAAAAACATTTTAAATTAAAATTTAACTTCGAAAATAATCTATAAATAAAAGAAAAAATGAAATACAAATTATTTTTTACATAAAAAAAACCTAATCTACAATGTGATTTCATAATCGTCGAGGTTGAGATCGACGTCTCGAGGAGGCTTTCTGTCTTGGCCATCCGTCGCTGTTGGACCGTCGTTTCCCATCTGCACTACTGGAGCTGAAGTCTGACCCTGCGTCTGACCTGCGTCTGCTGGTCCGATGGTCCACCGGAAGTACCACCGGCCTCAAAGATCCCTCGTGCTCGCCATTGCCTCTCTCGGATTGCGGTGGCCAACTGCGGAACCGCTTCCGCAATGATGTCGAAGAGCCCGTGCATCTCGGTGAGCTCCTGCTTCTGGGCCACTTGCTCATGCCTGAGAGTGGTGATCTCAGCATTGGTCGTAGCAAGCTCCTGGCGAAGATGACTCGGATCCTCCTGCGTGGGAAATCCGGAAGCCGAGACGGCAGGACAGTCTCTAATAGAGCCCATCCCTAAGGTTCGGCCCTACTTCTTCGGAGCAACCTACAAATGAAAATAAAAACGTTAATTAATTATTAAGTAATAAATATAATAAATTTTAAAAAATTTGAAATAGATCATACCTCCTCAAAAATCTGGTCTTGCTCAGCGACGGTTAACGGTACTTGGATAGTACCGTCAGGTGTGGCCTGGGTTTCCGCTCGGCGATCCGCTGAATAGCGGCATTGTAGATCTCTTCTGACCGAACTTTGAAATGGTGAAAAATTTTCTTATTGATTTTCACTTAATGTTACAATGGTGCTTACTTGTTATTTCTACACAGTGTATTTTCAAAACCCTAGTGAACTTACAACTGCTAAACTTGTTGCTCCTAGAGTCAGTCAACATTGCACGTGAGCATCAAAAGGGTTTTGCATTGTGATTGTATCTGCTGCAGCTTTGCAGCTAATCATCGTCCTTGGCTCTGCTTTACTTTTGTTTTTGTCATAGGGTAGAAATTTGTCTTGAAGTGGACTTTTGACATAGAGTAAAGAGGCCGACCATTGTGGCAGATTGAGCTCACTGTTGGGCTTCACCGTTTGGGCTTGCGACAAATTAATTGTGCCATTTACTGTTCTATTGGTAACACAACAACAAAAGACTGAGCTTATTGACCCTATCACATTTTCATCGATAAATTAAACTGTGAGTACTAATATGTTTAACTCAAATAATTAAATATTTTTCAATTTTGTTTTTTTTTTTCTTTTCAGTTTTGAATATTGCTTTTACAGTGTTTGCTCACTTTAGTGAAAACACATCATTGCAAAAGTTAATTAATTCGCCTTCTGACTTATATTCAACTAGTCTTAACCCCAAAAGTTTTATTATCCAAAGTGAGGTAGGCATACTCAAACAAAAATTTGAAAGCATTCATAAGAAATTTAGCAAACCTGGCATACCCAATACATAAATGGATAGATGTGCAATAATGTAATACCACATATATCTCTAGATTTGGGTACGTTGTTTTCACTTTCCCTCTTTCCAAAAGTTAATTAGTTATAATTAGATGAATATCTGCATGTAACCTTTTTGGTTACGTTGTTTCCACTTTCTTTTCAACTATTTTAAATTTATATATTTTTTATATTTTCGTAAAAATTAATATAATCATCATTTGTTACTTGTTTATATGTTATTATAAATAACTTTAAAAAATAATTTAAAATATATATTGAATATTATTAAGTAATCTAAAGTTATATCAAAATTAAATAAATATCTATCAATATTTTTAATTAGTTATGACATAAATTCTCATTCAACATCTACATAAATATTAGTTATAAGAGTTAATTAATAATTTTTTTTTAATTTTTTTGAGTATTTTAAAATTTAATATTAAAATTTATTAATTAAAACTTAAATAATTAAGTGTCATTCTCCCTACTGCTAACGTGTCAAAAAGTTGGAGAGATTTGGCCCTCTTTAATATATTAAAATAGTTGTATTATTAAATTTCTATAAGAACGACTAGCCATCAGATCAAAGAATTGCAAGCTTTGAATTTTTGTTTTTTGTGGGGTTAAACAATTTCCCTTTTACGTTATGCATTGTAACCTCCTTTTTATATTTTGTTTTGTTATAATTTTAAAATATATCTTATTATATAAAGAAAAATATTTAAAGTTAATAACTCGTCTGATCATGACATATGTCAAGTTAAACAATCAGATTTTGATATGTATTTAATTAATTTTTAGTCATATTTTAACAAATTTTATTAAAAAACTTATGAAATATTTTATAGGATATTTTTGGGGTGATTAATGTACAATCTAAATAATAAGTAAATATTGTTTTGCCAATGTACGTTGTCATATTTTCCTTAAGGTATGTTATCTTTTTTTAAGCATATCATAAAATTTCTTTTGCTTAAAATTATTCTGAAGTTACACATTAACTAAACTCCGAAAAAATGATTGTAAACAACAAAACAAATTTTCACACAAAGCATGGGTAATCTGTTAATAGTAATAATCGATTTTTAAAAAAAAAATCAAACTGCACCATTTAACATTTTAAGTTGGGATTTTTAATTTGTAGTCACTTTCTATTTTCTAACCTTTTGATTTTTGATTTTATTTTTAGAGTTAAATAACCATTATTGGACCATATTCTATTGTATTGGGCTTATATAAGTATTACATTTGGCAAATAAATATCCCACAATAGAAGTTGAGAGAAATCTTGGGTAATATATGAGATATATATATATATATATATATATAGTATGTATAAGTTGATTTTATTTTTAGAGTTAAAATAACCATTATTTGGTCATATTCTATTGTTTGGGTTTATATAAGTATTACATTAGGGATTAGGTTGAGAAATATCCCACATTGGAAGTTGAGATAAATTTTGGTTGATATGTGATGTATATTTATCATATGTATAAGTTGTTTATTGTATAAGAAAGTGTATTCAGTATTTTCTATATGGTATCAGAGCTAAAATCATGAACCATAACTCTTTGCTTTCTTCATTTTGCGTTCGAGTTCTTCTCTGCTCGCCCTTAGTTTTTATTTTGTCGGTAGCTACAACCGTTTTTTTTTTTTGATAAAACATGGCTACTGATGGTACCATTGTTGCAGCGACTGGTGATTCCAGCGCTAGCACACCTTACATCTTGTATTCCTCTAATAATCCAGGTGCTTTGATTACACCGGTGGTTATGACTGGAAAGAATTTTAATGAGTGGGCAGAGGAGATGATTAATGCATCCCGAGCTAAGAAAAAATTATGTTTATTGACGGTTCGATTGCCAAACCCACAACGACAGGAACAGAGCTCGGTACGGACCCCAAACATCAACATGAATTAATTCAACAACCATGGAGTTAAGAGAGACCCACAATTCCAGCTCGAATCCAAAGAAAGAATGTCGCTTGAAGAAATCTCTCTACGGTCTCAAACAAGCACCACATTGTTGGTTTGCTAAACTAACTGTCCATTTGAAGGAGGTTGGTTTTATTTAATCATATTATGACTATTCTCTTTTGATATATTTTGTGATGGTGTTGAGATTCGAGTCTTTATCTATGTTGATAACTTGCTAATTTACATAAATAAATCGGTTGCTTTGACGAAGTTTAAAGACTATTTGAAACATTTTTTCAAGATGAAGGATCTTGAAAAGCTCAAATATTTTCTGGATTTAGAGGTATCTCGTAATGAAGAAGGTATTGTCTTGTTACAATGCAAATATGCTTTAGAGATTACAGCTGAAACGGGTTTGATAGAATCATGGAACCATCGGACATATCGGACGTACCGCGGGTTGAGGTTCGGATCGAGGAACAAGACATATCGGGCATACCGCGGATCGGGGAACAAGAACCAGCGAGCGATCCAGACCCTGCCCTGATCGTACCAGCCGGACCGATGACCAGGTCACGTACCCGGATGCTTACGTGATCGATCTAGTGTGTGCTTACCGGCCTTAGGAGCCAAGCGACAGACCCAACAACGGAACCAAACCACAGGCCATGACCATTCTCATGTATTTAGGTCCGAACTAACTTGGTTGGGGTACTGTTTTGATACTCTTTTTCCTTACATCCGGGTTTGTCCTACTGCGTTTATCGGATGAGGTTTTAACGAGGTTAAGGCATTACCCATCTCACGACCTTGGTTCGTCCGCCGCTTGGTACATGGTTCGGAAGTTCAAGAGTTTTCTCTGCTAAGTATGCGAAGAGTCATCCGAGGAAATTTAACCTTTTTTCAACCCCTTCTTAAATGTTTTATTTGAATTTATTTATTTTTTTGTCATTTTCTATGAACGACCGATGGTCTTCTACGCCTCTATATAAAGGCTTCTTTGTACTCAGATTGTCATCAGCTTTTTATCTATCAATTTTCTTTAAGTTTTCTGTTTTGTTTTTCTTAGAAATTTTCGATACTTGGTGGTTAGCAGTTTGATAGTTCGGTTTATCAAGTAATTCTCATCTTACTTGACGTAGCCTTTGCCGACAAAGTGAGAGAGAGTGTTCGTAGTCATATTCGGGGCTTAGGGAATTTTGGAACTTGTCTCACATCCTAACATCCAATATCACAATCTCTTCCTTTTTTGTTTCCATTCCCTCGCTTCTCTTCTATTATCTCGGGATTGGGCCTAGGTATTTTCGGGATTTCTCCCACGCCTTAGCATCTCTCTCGCTGAAACGATCAGAACCAAGGAGTTTATCAATCTCATTGAACCAAGTGCTTGACATCTTATGAAGTGGTATCAGAGCCACACACTTGTAGAAATTCAGTAATATCCTTCTTTGTTTTTCTAAATTCCATCTTTTCTCATCTATCTCTTGTGATCTTATCAGAAAAAAAAAGAAGTCCAAAAGTCAAAAAACAAAAAGAGAAGTTTAAATAAAAAAAACGAATCAAAATCTTTTCTACCTATCTATCCTCTTCTAGTCTTACAATCTGCTTGATTTTGCTGTTCGGTTAAAGGCTTAAGTCGAGTTGACAAATTAGTTCATTTAGAACCGAGGAGAAACTCTCGTGTGTTGTGAGGACCTTAAGAGTGTGAGTGAATTCAAGAGAGAAAAGACTAAGTGAGGAATATTTGCTAACGTGTTTGTTTCTTTTGCAAAGTACCCTTTTTATGTCATCTGATCTATCTGACGGTGAATTTTCATACTACACTTTCCGAGACAGTAATCACATTCCGTGGGTCAATCCCAAAGAAATGGACGCTAGACTGAACCAACTGACCGAACTGATGGAACGGATGAACAACGGCTTGAGTGCAGCCGAGGCAAACAGATGGAAAGGGAGGTAGTAACCAGAACCGTGATGAACCATATCACCTTAGGAGAAATCGTAACCAGGTGAAAGTCTTTGAGAAACCTTTTTATACGGATGGACACACCTCTGGCGGAAGCCGCAATAGACCCTGGCAAGGTCAAGGAGCTCAGTGTAATCGAGACGATTTTTTCCGACGGAATGGACCACGCGACCGACAGGATGATCGAGACAACCGGAATCACAGCCGAGAGCGGTACAATGCGGAACCTGTACGAACTCGACCCGATAATGATCTGAGAGGAATGAAACTCCGGATTCCTACATTTTATGGCAAAAACGATCCTGACGCGTTCCTGAAATGGGAGAAGAAGACCTTAATTATCTTCGGTTGCCAGGATAGAAAAAAAATCAACTTGGCCGCATCTGAGTTCAATGGCTACGCGATCGATTGGTGAGATCAGATTGTCACCAACCGGAGGCGAAATAGAGAGCGATCGGTCGAGATATGGGATGAGATGGTTAGCCTTATGAGACGGCGTTTTGTGCCAACTCATTACCATCAGGAGTTTCATACCAAACTGAGAAGGCTGACCCAAGGAGCCAAGAATCTCGAAGATTATTTCCATGTTGAAAGCCGATGTAGAGGAACCAGAAGACGCGACCATGGCAAGATTCCTTAGTAGACTGAACCGGGATATCCAAGATCGGATGAAGCTACAGGAATACACAAGTATGTCTGAGATGTTGGATAAGGCGATTCCCTTGGAACTGCAGTTAAAGAGAAAGGACCTGAGCCGACCCACTTATGGATCAGGATCACGACCAGCCAACCGGAACGACAAAATCTATCTAGCAAGGAACGATGCTAAGACCAAAACCGATTACAAGCCAAGTTTGCCTAGCACCGACGACTGAGGAAAGGCTGAGGCTAACCCAGTACGGAGTAGAGACATCGAGTGTTTCAAATGCAGGGGCAAGGGACACTATGCAAACAAGTGTCCTAACCAGAGGGCTATGATCTACTTGAGTCCAGCAAAATTGTTTCCGAAGGAGAAGAAGTCCCTGAGCCATTATACAATGATGAAGCTGGCGAAGAGTATGCGGCTGAAGGGGAACTGTTAGTGGCCCAGTGAGTTCTAGTGTCTTAGAAACCGGTATGGGAAGAGGATCAAAAGGAGAATTTATTTCACACTCGATGCCTGGTGATTGGAAAGACCTGAAGCATGGTCATAGATGGAGGAACTTGTACGAATGTTGCAAGCCAAAGTATGGTGGAAAAGTTAGGTATCAAGACAATAAGCACCTGCACCCGTACAACCTTAGATGGCTCAACAACAAGAGGCAACTCAAATTCAGCAAACAAGTCTTGGTGCCTTTTAAGAATGGGCGGTATGAGGATGAAGTCATGTACGACGTCTTACCCATGGAGGCCGGACACATTCTGTTGGGAAGACCGTGGCAGTATAACCATAAGGGGATCCACGATTGCTTTACTAACAAGCACTCATTCAAACTCAAGGGCCGGAAAATCATCCTAGCTCCTTTATCACCCCGCGAAGTTTACTTAGACCGAATCCAACTTGAGAAAAGCAGCAAAGGAAAATCCACTCAGAGCGATCCCCCAAACACATCACTTACAAAAAATGAGAGTGAGAGTTCAAGTGAACCACCAAAAAAGGCCTTAATCAATAAACCCATGAGAAGAGAGACTCTTTTCGTGAGACCGAGTGAGATCAAAAAGGCTATGCTTACTAAGCAGCCTTTAATTTTGCTTATGTTTTAATCCGCTTTAGTTAGCACCACTAAACTTGAGCCGGAGCTCCCGAGCAATGTTTCTTTGGTTTTACAGGAGTACACTGATGTTTTCCCAGAATACAATTCAGGAGGTCTACCACCAATCCGAGGAATTGAACACAAGATAGACTTCATACCCGGAGCGTCTCTCCCAAATCGGTCTGCTTACCGAACCAACCCGGTGGAGACCAAGGAACTACAGCGCCAAGTAGATGACCTAATGGAGAAGGGTTACATTAGGGAAAGCATGAGCCCGTGTGCTGTACCTGTTCTATTGGTTCCAAAAAAGATGGGACCCGGAAAATTTGCATGGACTGCCGAGCAATAAACAACATCACGGTAAAATATCGCCATCCCATCCCGCGCTTAGATGACATGTTAGATGAACTTCACGGCTCTAGTGTGTTTATAAAATTAGGTTTAAAAAGTGAATACCATCAGATCCGAATGAAGAAGGGAGATGAATGGAAGACCGCATTCAAAACCAAGCATGGTTTATATGAATGGCTGGTCATGCATGCGGTTAATGAATCATGTTCATATGGCTTACATTGGTGTTTTCGTAGTTGTATACTTTGACGACATCCTGATCTATAGTAAAAGCCTAGAGGAACATGTGAGCCACTTGAAACAAGTGCTAGAAATACTTAGGAAGGAGGGTTTGTTCGGAAATTTTAAGAACTGTTCATTCTGCACAGAGAACATGTTTTTTCTAGGGTTTGTTGTGAGTTCACAGGACATATAGGTGGACGAAGAAAAGATTAAAGCCATACGGGATTGGCCAATTCCAAAGACGGTTGGAGAGGTCCGCAGATTTCACGACTTAGCGGGGTTCTATTCCGAGATTTCAATACCATCGCAGCACCGCTAACTGAAGTCATAAAGAAAGATGTTGGGTTCAGGTGGGAACGAGCCTAAGAGGAAGTGTTCCAGGTGCTTAAGTATCGACTGACCCATGCGCTTCTCTTGTCCCTACCCAATTTTCTTAAGACCTTCGAAATCGAGTGTGACACATCCGGTATGGGCATTGGTTCCGTACTTATGCAAGAAAAGTTACCAATCGCTTATTTCCGTGAGAAGCTTGGCGGTGCTACCTTAAATTACCCTATCTACAACAAGAAACTCTACACCTTTATCCGAGCCCTGCAGATGTGGCAACACTATTTGTGGCCTAAGGAGTTTGTGATACATAGTGATCATCAATCGTCAAATCATCTCAAAGGGCAACAAAAGCTGAATAAGCGGCATGCAAGATGGGTTAGGTTCATCGAGACCTTTCCGTATGCGATCCAGTATAGCAAGGAAAAGAAATATTATGGCCAACATCTTGTCACGACGGTACACATTAATCACTACGCTTAAGGTGCTCGGGTTGGAGATGATTAAAGAAGCATATGTGACTGACCCGGACTTCCAGGAAGTTTTCCTCGCCTGTTCTAAATTTCCTCATGGAAAATATTATCAGACTGGTGGTTATTTATTCTATGAGAACCAACTTTGCATACCTAACTCTTCTTTGCGTGAGTTGATAGTTAGGGAGGCTCACGGTAGAGGGCTGATGGGGCACTTTGGTGTTTTGAAAACACTAAGTGTGGTCCATTGGTCGCACCTCAAGAAGGATGTAGAAAGAATCTGCCACCGGTGCACCGTGTGTAAACTTGCTAAAGCCCGCAGCCAGGGATCAGGTATGTACACTCCGCTACCCATCCCTACCGAGCCATGGACTGACATCTCAATGGATTTTGTCTTCGGGTTGCCACGGCCCCGCAGAGGTAAGGATTCTATCTTTGTCATAGTGGACCGATTCTCTAAAATGGCACACTTCGTTCAATGCCATAACACAGACGATGCCTCAAACATAGCCGATCTATTCTTTAGGGAAGTGGTACGCGTGCATGAGGTTCCTAGAACCATTGTTTCTTACAAAGATACTAAGTTTCTTAGTTATTTCTGGAAAACCATTTGGGCCAAGATAGGAACTAAGTTGTGTTTCTCTACGACCTGCCACCTCCAAACCGATGGCCAAACTGAAATAGTCAATAAGACTTTGTCAGCTATTTTACGACCGGTTATTAAAAAGAACCTTAGAAGTTGGGAGGATTATCTGCCTCATGTTGAATTTGCTTATAATCGAGCTGTTCATTCCACTACTCTTTATTCTCCTTTTCAGTTAGTTTATGGATTTAATCCACTTACACACTTGGATTTGACCCCTTTACCTTTGTCTGAGCGTGTGAGTATGGACGGAAAGAAGAAAGCTGACTTGATGAAAAAGATGCATGAGAAAGCACGGCAAAACATTGAGAGAAAAACAGAGCAGTTTCAGAAATATGCCAACAATGGGAAAAACAAGAAAGTGTTTGAGCCTGGCGATCAAGTATGGTTCTACTGAAGGAAAGAGAGGTTCCTAGAAGAAATAAAATAAAAACTCATGCCAAGGGTTGACGGGCCATTCACTGTTTTGGAGTGGATCAACAACAACGTTTATAAGATTGATCTACACAGAAAGTATTCTGTAAGTTAGCAGTTTCAATATAGCTGATATCATGCCTTTTCACGCAGATGAAGCAGACTTGGGGACACGTCCTTTTCAAGAGGAGGGGGATGATAGAATCATAGAACCATCGGACATATCAGACGTACTGTGGGTTCAGATATATCGGCGTACCGTGGATCGAGGAACAAGAACCAACGAGCAACCCAGACGCTGCCCTGATCGTAACAGCCGAGCTGATGACCAGGTCACATACCCGGATGCTTACGAGATCGATCCAGCGTGTGCTTACCTGTCTTAGGAGCCAAGCAACAAACCCAACAACGGAAACAAACCACAAGGCCATGACCATTCTCATGTACTTAGGTCCGAACTAACTTGGTTGGGGGTATTGTTTTGATACTCTTTTTCCTTACATCCGGGTTTGTCCCACTGGGTTTACCGGATGGGATTTTAACGAGGTTAAGGCATTACCCATCTCACGACCTTGGTTCGTCTGCGGCTTGGTACATGGTTTGGCAGTTCAAGAGTTTTCTCGGCTAAGTATGCGAAGAGTCATCCGAGGAAGCTTAACCATTTTTCAACCCCTTCTTAAATGTTTTCTTGGACTTTATTTATTTCTTTGTCATTTTCTATGAACGACCGATGGTCTTATACGCCTCTATATAAAAGCTTCTTTGTACTCAGATTTTCATTAGATTTTTATCTATCAATTTTCTTTGAGTTTTCTGTTTTGTTCTTCTTAGAACTTTTCGATACTTGGTGGTTATCCATTTGATCGTTCAGTTTATCAAGTAATTCTCATCTTACTTGACGTAGCCTTCGCCGACAAAGTGAGAGAGAGTGTTCGTAGTCATATTCGGGGCTTAGGGAATTTTGGGACTTGTCTCACACCCCAACATCCAATATCGCGAACTTTTCCTTCTTTGTTTCCATTCCCTCGTTTCTCTTCTATTCTCTCGGGATTGGGCCTAGGAATTTTCGGGGTTTCTCCCACGCCTTAGAGTCTCTCTCGCTGAATCGATCGGAACCAAGGAGTTTGTCAATCTCACCGAACCAAGTGCGTGACAAATCTTGAGAAGATCTTATCAAGTGGTATCAGAGCCACTCACTTGTAGTAATTCGGTACTATCCTTCTTTGTTTTCTAAATTCCATCTTTTCTCATCTATCTCTTGTGATCTGCTCAGAAAAAAAAAAGTCCAAAAGTAAAAAAAAAACAAAAAGAGAAGTTTAAAAAAAAAACGAATCAAATTCTTTTCTACCTATCTATCCTCTTGTAGTCTTACAATCTGCTTGATTTTGCTGTTTGGTTAAAGGCTTAAGTCAAGTGGACGATTTAGTTCATTTAGAACCGAGGAGAAACTCTTGTGTGTTGTGAAGACCTTAAGAGTGTGAGTGAATTCAAGAAAGAAAACACTAAGGAATATTTGCTAACATGTTTGTTTCTTTTGCGAGGTACCCCTTTTATGTCATCTGATCTATCTGACGGTCAATTTTTATACTACACTTTCCGAGACAGTAATCACATTCGGTGGGTCAATCCCAAAGAAATGGATGCTAGAGTGAACCAACTGACCGAACTGAAAGAACGGATGAACCAGCGGATGGAACAGCTTGAAGTGCAGCCGAGGCAAACTGATGGAGAGGGAGGTAGTAACCGGAACCGAGATAAACCAGATCACCTCAGGAGAAATCATAACCAGGAGGAAGAAAATCTAGTCCACGACCTGAAATCTGTAAATCCATCTCCTTGCATTAAGGTTTGTACGCATCCACATGTACCAAATAAGAAATATGTTATTTCCAGACGGCTATTACCTAACTATGGATGCAGTGCATGGAAAAGGTAGGTGTGAATGATGTGGATGATAATTTAATCCCCAACGCAGAAACGGTAACTGGGGAACCTCGCAAAAAGGTTTGTACACTTCGATAGTTACTAATATATATATATATAATTTCAGACAGGTATGACCAATGCGTATCCTTATAATTGTTCCTACTTTGGATGCAGATAAGTGAAAACGTTGGTGTGGAAAGTGGTAGAACCAATAAAGGAAATGCGGTGGAAGAAAATTTTGTACAGGACCCAAAATCTGTAAACGGAGTACACATGTACCAAAAAAAAAATTATTATTTCTAGATGGATATTACTTAACTATTATGAGTACTTATGTAGACTGGTGAGGTTGTACATAAATCCAATGAGGAAGGTTATCATTCTCGTGTTGAGGATCCGGTAATATACCAATAGCTTTGAAGAATTTAACTTAGGAATATACGTATAATAAAATGGTTCTAATTCATTTTTGTGATGTGAAATTAGAATCTTGCCAGCCTTGAAAGCGATGCAGCAATACAGCATGTTATGGGTTTCCTAGATACTTGGCTATACACAGATAATGATATGCTGCAAAAGATGGAGGTCAATGAGGTAAACGCAAGAGCAATAGCGTTGTATTCCTTGTATTCTGGGAAGGTCATCTTGAAATTATTTGCATGAGGTGTTTTGATGGGTGATAATGTTAGAAAAGAAATTCTAACTTTTTATAATGCATAATGTCAAAATAGGTACGTACACTCGCAACTGGGACTAGTGAAACCATGCTAACCGACGACTCGAGTAATTATTCATTCCGATTTGACCCCATTAAGGTAGTTCAACTGTCTGTTTTAACACTTGGGAACATATAATGATATATTGTATGTTTTAGTTGTTTTGGAATAATTAGTTTAAAATGATTTCAGTAGATGCCTATGTCATGTGTAAATCGGATACTCCATTGATTCACGTTTCAACTGAAGTGTCTGTTGATAAGGTACGTTGTCAGGA